GAGGCCCAGCAGCTGCAACAGAGGCAAAGCCTCCTGGGGCCTACCGGAAGCTTCTGGGCCCAGGCCAGTCCAGCCAGGCTGCCGAACGAGCCAGGCTCTTTCCATATAGGAAAGAGCTCGCTGCCTGGCCAGGGCATTCGGGCACTTGCTGGCTGGCGGCAACACTGCTGGAAGTGATAGCTCGCGTGCTGGCTGCTGGCATTGGAGCAAGAGGCTGCGCACGTGCGGTCGTGTGGTGAAGAAGGGCGCTGCTGAGGGCAGCGCCATAGCTCAGCCTCCATAGCTGGCTGTGGGCTTGGACATACAGTGAGGTGTAGGGGTGGTCTTCGGGTGTACAACAAAGGGAGACGTGGGAGAGAGTCAAGGGGGAGAGAGAAGGATGATGATGATGATGTGAGGGCACATACCTGGTATTGGCGATGGTTCTGCATGGGCGACATCTTCAAGTACTTCAGGTGCTGCTGACGTCAACAGTTGCATTGTCAATTAGTAGGCTAGTAGTAGCTGTGTAGGGAGTAGGCTGGGCACCGAGCGCCAGGTAGGGAGATAGAGACTGGAATCTGGATACATATGTTGGTGGTGGCGCGAGCGAGCTCTCATTGACATTGACTTTCAGTGCGACGGTTCTCCATTGGTGTTATATTGGTGCAGTGCTGATTCCTGAACACAGTGTTACAATTTGGCTTTCAATGTGATTGTGTAATCTGAATATTGCCGTCTCGCTTCTGTTCATTTTCCTTGCAATATGTTATTATATTCTTTAATTCTTGATCACTCTGACTTTTTCCGTTCCGTTGTGTTTATAAAATCATTAAAATGTTCTATAATTTATAAATTAATGTCATTGCTTTGTTGTTTTTGTGGTTGTGATGGAACCTGTTCAGGCATGGGACGAGGACATGGCCCTTGCGCAGGAGGCCATTGCAAGGGATTTGAGGGCAGCAGAGAGAGCAAGACAAAAAGAGCAGGAGAAGAGGTTTGAGCTCTCGACTCTCTCTACTTCTCAAGTTTGATTTTTTGATGGATCGATTAAAAAAAAATAAAAATAAAAAAATAAATCTAATTTGGAATTTGGAAATTAAAAACTTTGACGAGTTTACTTAGGGCATACTCACACTAGCACTTTTTGAAATGCATCTTTTGACTGCAATTACGGCCAGACCGGGATGCATCTGACCGGAATCACGTCCATAAACAAGTACCAGGTCCTAGTGTGAGTATGCTCTTACTTTAGACTGTCACTCAAGTCATTCTTAAGCCACTAGTACCTCTGCCGTCCAGTTTTGACAAATTTTAGCCTAGTCCCGAACTTTTAGTTGGCCGGGCCCGACAACGACGGCCGTTGATAAATCTGATCCTCGACCGTCGTTTCGTTTCGGCTCGTTTCGTTTCGGCCTCCTCCTGAAAGGTCGAAGGCCCACTCACAAGTGCAACGGCCTTGAGCTATAGTCATCAAATTGAACGCCCCCAGGTAATTCGCCGAGAATTATTTCATTTCATTCATGTAGCTCCATCTGGATTCGAACTCGATTCTGTATTTCCACAGCTCATGGGTGTACCAAATGAGCTATAGGCCCGTCGGTACAATGCCATTCTCATGTTGGAACTTGAAGCTTCTCTATCCCTTTCTTTCTTTCTTTCTTTTT